TCGGGGAGGTATACTAACCTAAAAACTAGAAGTCAAGTCAATAATTATTACAATTTGTTTTTATAATGGTAAATAAAAAGTTTCGTAAATAATTTAAATATGGTAATAGTAATGTGAAGTGAATGACTGTCAACAGATTTAAAATAAAACAGTACGTTTGTGATCTGCATTTTCAATCTAATGATGTCCAGCAGTTCTATATTACAACTTGACCGAATAGTGGGTTAATATTATGGCAAAAGGTCGAATAATTCGGAAGTTGGAAGCAGCTTCTTTGATTCTTAATACGGTAGAGAAATTTTTAAATAGAAAGATTTCATAAGTGAAAATATTGTATAATTGAATGATGCATTGTTTCTTTATATATTTTGCAGCAGCATCAACAGCAAGAGCATCCGCTACACCAGCAACAACAGGTGCAGCAGCTACAACAAGAGCAACAATTACAACAACAAGAACAGCAAGTAAATCAAGAGCAATTAAGTTACGATGAAATTATACTATACTCGGCGGCCGAAATTATAAAGAGTGACTAATACATAATATAAAAACACTATTACCATAATGCGTATAAAATATAAAATATTTCTATACGGTTCAATATTATTTATCTTTGTGCCGCTCGCCATGCGCATCGGTAGAATCTATAATCGTGTATAGACTGAGTTATACTGAACGTCGATCTATATTTTACCTCTGTCTTTTGCACTTGGTAGGGAATAGGGAAATGCTTTTTTAGTGGGTGTAAACGGACTTGATTTGCCCGACCTGAGAAACGTCATAGCAAAAGCGTAGACGAGGGGTCTAATTCCATAGCTATAATAAATTTATAAATTAAAAAACACAACTGGGACGTTTTAAAATGCTGTAATAATTAAAATTGATCAAAGTGCCGGTTATAGCAACCCGTAAAAAATATTAGATGTTATGTTTTATTATGTTTTTTCAATATTTTCTATATCTTGTTGCCTTTTACGCAGACACGACAATGGATTTTCGTTCCCGGCACGCTTCATCCCCCTTACTAGTCCAAGAGCTAGCGATGAATCACTATCTATAATTTTGGCCGTCGAGTATAGAAAGTGAGCATCCTGTCCTGTATAATCTAATAAAAGAAAAGTTCTATTGAGATGTGATGAGGTCTCGACAAAGCAACGATGAATATGTTCAAAGCATAATATTGACAATAGCAACAAATTATACTTTATTTATTTCTACATATTCTTGTAATTTATATTACGTTCATAAATAATTAAATTCATATCTTTCATATAATTAATTCTTGTTGGTGACATCGTTATTATCATTACTGAATTGATTAAATCATTTCCAATTAGTTGCTGTTTCTTTCCTGTTAGTAAAAAACTGATCGAAATTCAGATATCATATAAAATTTAAAGAGAGGATACGTGTAGTAATCGATGCTGATTGATCTGTATTGGTAATTGACTACTTTTACTAAATATTTAAACATGGAAATCAATTACTTCTCGAACAAAATTAAATTTTAAGAAGAAAAAGAAGATAGACTGACAAGTATTACTTATTTTTAAGAAGAATTCCTTTTTATTTGTAATATATATTTACGTTGTTACTTGTTTGTTATGAATAAATATTGATTTTTATTTTAATTAAGTACAAATAATTTCGTTTTTTGATTCAATTAATGAAACATTGAAATCTTTGGTAGATAAACATTTTATTTTTACAAAATATATAACAAAAGTATAGAACATTGCTAAAATATTTCTTTATAATACCTTATTAATTCTGGTCTATACTCTACCTTGGAATAAGTCATGGAACCATTGTTACGTTCGAATTAAATCAACAATTTTACGAAAGAATTAAATTTTACAGCAATTTTATATCCAGAAAACTAATCGATTTTAAACAGTTATAAAATATTTAGATTACCTATTTTTTGTGACCTTTATAATGGAGTACCTATATTTTGTTAAAATTTTGGTATCAATTGGTTGTCATGTTGTTTTAAGCTTCTTGACATTTTGAGAAACATCATTCTGACCTTCAAAAGAAACAGTTCCCGAACTCTTCTGAAGAAGAGAGTGATATGACTCTCGAAGCATTGAGAAGTCTAAACCGACAACATGGCAATCAGCTTAGAAATTGTCTAATCATAATTTATCGACTTTCCATAGTCAGTTTTCAGTTACACTAATATAGTATATTATTGGTTATTCAAAAAAATATGGATTGTGATGATGATGATGATGATGATGATGATGATGATGATGATGATGATGANTGAGGTATATGATTATATACCTTCAAACCTAAACATATGGGTGAATTAATTAATACATTGTACCTACAAAATGGTATATGAAAATCTTTATTCTGACTAGTATTCCTATTATGGACGTTATGATTGGTAGCCAATCGTTGTCTATTAACATATACATAAATACACAATTCGAAAATAAAAACACTAAAGTTAAGACACCAAATTAAAAAAAATTTCTGCACGAAATTGTATTCGCCAGTCCTAACAAACTTCGCATAATTCTTTTTTGAATAATAAAGACATCCGAGGAAAAAGTGGAATTGCCCCAGAAACACATGCCGTATCTCAACCTGGACTCGACCTGACAATAATAAAAACTCAAAAGCTGCTCAGTGGTGAGAATATATCGGATACTTTTAATTAAGTAATTAATGGAGTTCAACTTATTTACTAACTGATTGCAATGTGTTTTCCAGCTCAAAAATTCATCAAAAACTATTCCCAGGAACTTGACACTTTGATTCTGTGCAACCTTACTAGTTCCGATATTGAGTTCTAAATTGGAGCACTGTTTTTGCCAATTACGAAATCTTAAAAAATTTGTTTTTTCAGTGTTTAAGTACTGATTATGAGAGGAACACCAATCATTTAAAATATTCAAACTATTGTTGCATTTACTCTGCAACCGACTATCAGATTTGTCCGATACAAGCAAAGATTGGTCATCCGCATACATAACCAAATGAGTACCCCAATGCAGTGGCCCCAATTCATTCGTGTATATTAAAAACAATATAGGCCCCAAAATGGACCCCTGTGGTACGCCAACATCTATCACATTTCGCTTAGAATTGACCTCTGCTGCACAACCTTCATGGAAATATTTCAAATTCACATATTGCGATCTATTTTCTAAAAATGATTTTATCCAATTTAATGGCACTCCCCGGATTCCATATGCATATAATTTATCTAATAACTTACTTTGATCCACACAGTCGAATGCCGTACTAATATCCACAAAAGATACCCACAGGGCACTCTCCCTCCTCGATGTAATCTACAAGTTTCACATAAAAAGAATGAATTGCGGTACCAGTTGATTTGTTATGTCGAAACCCGTGCTGATTATCTATCAAAACATTGTATTTATCAAGAAAAATCACCAAACGTTCCGCAAAGGCATATTCAAAGATTTTTGCAAATCCGGATGGTACTGTAACCGGCCTATAATTTTGCAAATCTTCTTGATCGTTTTTCTTATGAATTGGTACTACTTTACTAATTTTTAAGCAGTCTGGAAACTTGCCTGTTTTGAACGATAAATGTATCACATAAGTTAAAGGTAATTGAATCCATTATTTTTTAAATAACAAATAATGTCTGGATGGAATGGCTGGACCTAATCAATATCTGATCAGGTCCAGCCGAATGCTTGTTTTTTACTTTTCGCTTTAATAAAGCCAACAGTTCCTCACAAGTAAATGGCTCCAAAAAGAAAGACTTCAGAAAATTTGACCTGGAAATTGCAGGAAACTGGATGCTACCTGTTGTAGTTATATTATTAATTATTTCTAACGGTGCATTCTTAAAAAAGTCACTGAACATCGAAGCAACAATTACCGGATCTTCAATTTTTTCCACGCCATTTTTTATACTAATATTTTTTTGTTGTCTAATTTTACCAGAAATCTAATTTATTGTGTTCCAATTTCCAGCTTTAATTACATTGTTTGAATTCATGATCTTATTTTGGTAGTATTGTTTTTTTACTTCCTGCACAAATATGCTATGTCGTTTTTTTATAGTCTTACATTTCTGTTAACTCAGGATGTGCCATTTTTTAAATATGTAAATATTTAAGTTTCATGCTGGAGCTTTTAACGGCGTCATTCAGCCACCCTTTATCAGATGCAATGTTATTATTATTGAAACACCTACGAAAAGGAAAACTTATATTAAAATAATATATAACTATATTAAAAAAGTAGTCAAATGCTTTATTTATGTCATGCATCTCATAAATATCAAGCCAATTCTCCCCAGTGAGCAAATCATAAAATCCGTTAATTGCATTGTCATTAAAACTTCTTTTGTATTGTGATTTAGACTCTTTTGCTCTCACTGATATCGTGTTAATCTCATGTAAGACAGTTCTATGATCAGAAAAGATATTATTTTCTACACAAATAAAACTATTGTCTAAACTGTTGGTAAATATATTGTCAATAGTTGTTGCAGTACAATTAGTAACCCTGGTTGGCCATCTTACCAGAGGTTTCATATTAAAACTAGACAACAAATTACATAACTTGTTAAAATCGTCATAATTTCTAGAACGCACTGTTGAGTCTAAGTTAAAGTCACCATTTAATATAATATTAATGTAAGGATTAAATAGCATTTCGAGAACATCATAAATCTTATCAAAAAATATTTTTATATCTCCACTGGGGGATCTGTAGCATGTTAAAATAGTTGTTATTTTGTTGTCCTTACATTTAGCCCCACATATTTCAAAATGTTTTTCAACACAGAAATGCTTTAAATCGATATTAATTGTATCAGGAAGATTATTCTTTGCAAAAATTGCAATCCCGCCTTTTTCTTTAAAATTTCTGCAATACTAACTGATCAGTGAATAATCTCTTATATATTTAGCATTAATATTGTCAACTTTAGCGTGTGTTTCCGTCAAACATTAAATTAAATTAAATTATTAAATTATAATTATAATAATTATATGTATAAGTTATATAGGGTCAACTACCTGTAGAGTTAAGGAAATGGGAGCATCGACATTGCTAACATGAGCTGGACAGCCTAGGAATGCCGTGTCATCAATTTTGGACAAGTGGACGGCAATAGCCATTTTAATCAGTCTGCATTAGAATCTGACACTGTAATTATCATTCAACAATAAAATTTAATTTTAAAAATTATTTTTTAANCCAGGATAAAGATATGACACAGTCAAGACCCTTGTGGAAGACTCGATATCAAATGAGGTTGATAACACAAAAAAGTTGGAGAAGGCGATCAATTATGAAACTTTATACAAAGCAAGTTATTTATTAATTGAAAAGAGACTGTCCTTCTAGTGCTGACAGCGGATTCTATCATTCACATTTCTTTCATATGTTCTTAAAATGATATATACCTATATTACCTCTGTGGAGCAGCTTGTTCATGCATGAACTTTGACACCCTGTATCTCGCTAACGAAGCACTTGCGGACCGATGTTCATATGCACTTTTTTGCTTAAAATATGACAAGGAATCACCCCTTGATATATAATATAATTATATATATACAAACGTTGAAAAAGTATTTTAGGGTTGCAGTCGGAAAAAAATGAAGTGGCCAAGAATAAAAATAAACACTCTTCGTTATATCGTCGAGCTTTCGGAAATGTTTATTTCCTTTTTCAAGACATTAACATGAGATTAGTTTGAAAAGAGGCTTCATCGCACACAATAAAAACATTTAAAACCTCAATGATGATTATTATAAACAAACAAAATTAAAATCGAAATGCATGTGGACAGACATAAAACAATTTCAGCCGTTACTGACGCTTGAATAAAAATTCCAAAAAGAAAACCTCCCTTCCTTCTTCTTCCTTCTTTTTGGAATTTGTATTCAAGCGTCAGTAACGGCTGAAATTGTTTTATGTCTGTCCACATGCATTTCGATTTTAATTTTGTTTGTTTATAATAATCGTCATTGAGGTTTTAAATGTTTTTATTGTGTGCGATGAAGCCTCTTTTCAAACTAATCTCATGTTAATGTCTTGAAAAAGGAAATAAACATTTCCGAAAGCTCGACGATATAACGAAGAGTGTTTATTTTTATTCTTGGCCACTTCATTTTTTTCCGACTGCAACACTAAAATACTTTTTCAACGTTTGTATCAACTAGTCAGTCGTGACTACCCTTTTGCTTGTTTCAACATATATATATATATGTTAAAATACATTTATTTTCTTGGGAATTGGGTTCTGGTGTGATAGTCGGTTAAAAAAGGATAAAAGAAACAGCAGCTATTTCTTTCTTGACGTTTCCTTCCTGATCAGGAACTTTTTCAAAAGGCTTTTATTGTTAAACTTGTAATTGTTAATTAAATAAAACCTAAAATACCAACAAACTACTTAATATTTAGAAACAATTTTTCCTATAATTACAATTAATTTAATAAAAATATAATTTTGTCAAATACATACCAAAACAACCATTTTCCGTAGAATAAATTTTTTAAAAACTATGCATCAGTCATCGTATTGGACAAATTTTCACAATATAATATTATTGTGTTTTTTTCATTTTAAATTTGAAAAAGGCTTGCATTTTTTAAATGTCGTAAGCGTACCAGGAAAATATTTTTAATCGGCAATGTGGTACGTTGATACGTTGGAAATGAAATGAGCGATATAATTATGATAAAATCGAAAACAGGTAGTACGCCTAGCAGTGAATTTTTGTAAATTAAAAACAGAAAGGACATCTAGTGATTTTATTGGAAATTATATTTTAAATGTATAGAAAACTATTTTAAATGTTATTTGTTTGTATGATAATCAGTGGAAATAACTAAAACGTAATTATTATTATTTGATTAAATAATGATATATTTGACTTAAGTTTTTAATGTCAGTTTTGTCGTTAATACTGTTTTTATTTTTTTTATTCGAATCATTTCTTGGATTAATCTTTTGTTATAATTTGGTTCTTTGACAAGAATTTTAGTTTGATCAAAATTAAAACTATGTTTTTTTTCTTTAACATGTTTGCAACAGCACTTAATGAAGTTATATACGGCCAACTACCTGTAGAGTCGGGGAAATGGGAGCATCGACATTGCTAACATGAGCCGGGCAGCGTAGGAACGCTGTGTCATCAATTTTGGACAAGTGGACGGCAATAGCCGTTTAGGGCAGTCTGCATTAGAATCTGATACTGTAATTATCATTCGACAATAAAATATAATTTTCAAAATTATTTTTTAAAAAAGACCGAAACAGTAATCGGAAATTTGAGTGGCGCAGTCGGTAGGATCGGTCAATCGGTATTAAGGAACATAATATCGGTCCGTTTCAACAATTTATTGACCATCCAAATAAAATTCGGACTTTTTGGTGACTTAATCGCGAGTTACGAAACTGTTCCGAGTAAAGTGTAGAAGTGTCCAGCTAGGTGAAAGGGAGAATAATCTAGCAAGAAGCAAAAAGCAGTTCTGAGAGAATATCAGCACACTTCTTGAGACCAAAAACTACATGGATATCCGGATGCTGTTACTGTAAGTACACGAATGTCTTATAGAGGTCAACTTGAATATAATTCAGAAAACTCTGAAGATTCTGATTCAATCTCACCCACACTAAATCATCTTAGGTTCCAATTAACAAATTTTAATTTTAACAGTTAAAATAATTCAACAAGCATGACTGAACCTGGTACAAATGTATTACCTGTTCTAAAACAAGAGTATCTAAATATGATACCAGAATTTAACGGACAAACCGAACTTTTACCAAGGTTTATAGAAATAAGTGAAAAATTAGTAAAAAAATTTTACAACACTACTAATCAAACAGACTTTCAAAATAAATATTTGATGTCTAGCATCTTAGCAAAAATTAAAGGCGAAGCCGCTATAAATATTTCATCTTGTATAATAAATAATTGGAATGACTTAAAACTAGCACTTCTCAATGCTTACGCTGATAAAAGGGATATTTATACGCTTAACATTGAGATGACAGAATGCAAACAGGAGAACGAATCTCCATTTGAATTTTACACGCGAATACAACAGTTATATTACAAACCTCATATATCGCGACACACAGTCAAGGCGCGGAAAGTGTAATTTTAGTTAATTATCACAGAAATTTAGCATTAAGAGTTTTATTAAGAGGTCTCAAGGATCCATTAGGCTCATTAATGAGAACCAAAAATCCCGCAGATTTAAATAGTGCATTAAATATGCTAACAAACGACTTTCAGTTAGAAAGCACTCATACCAGAGTACCTAAACCAAAAATTATTAACAAAAATACGAATCTAAATAAAATGAACTTTCAAAATAAATTATTTAGACCTAATAATCAACATCAACTGCAATTAACAAATTTCCCTCACAATCCTCAATTTGCACAAAGACCAATGCACTCTAGCCAAGGTGCCGGTCTTTCACATAGTCAAAATAATTACAGATTAGGTCCCTCCACCAACCAAAATGTTTTTAGACCCGGTTTATCAAAGAATCAACCAAAACGTACAAACCTGGACAGAATTTGCAAATCCAAAATCGTAGTTATCGACCTAACCAAAATCATTTCGCAAATAACAATAAAACTCGACCTAACTATATAGTAGAGGAATTGTATAATATAGATGACAAATCGTCAGTCGAAATGCCTGATGAAAACTGTTATGACGAAAACGCCGAAAATTCTCAAAATGAGTTTTTTTAGGAGATAGCCTCGGAAAACGAAATTGTAGAATTGAGCGACCAAGATTATCAATTTATGAATTAATAAACATGAATTATAATGAAAGTAAGCTTCCATTTATTAATTTTCCCGAATATATTCTAAAAGCATTAATTGACACAGGAAGCACAAAATCTTTTATAAAACCCGAAATTGTCCAAAAATTCTTTAAAAATTTTATTCAACCAGATCCATTTAGAATTCGTACGGCACACGGTACATCTATAGAAAACTACAGTACCTGTATATCTTGTCCAAAAGTTTTTAATGAGAAAAATGTTATTTTAAAATTCTATTTAATTTTCATGTCGACTTTGATTACTTATTGGGCGCTGATAATTTAAAATTATTAAAAGCTAACATTAATTTAGTAAATGATATATTAGTAACCCCTAACAGTCAAATAAAAATTTCTTACTATAAAGCTTCGAATGTTGAAACAAATCGTATCACAGTACAACCAAGATGCGAACAAATAATTAAGGTAAACGTTAAAAATATAAAAGAAGGTGATGTCATAATTCCTTATACGAAAATTTCAGATTTAGAAATACCCGAATGTCTCACACACGTAGAAAATTCTCAAGCCATATGTACAGTTCTGAATCGTTCAGATTCTCCAAAAATCATGAAAATGATCGAACCTATTGAAGTAATTAACTTCGACCGGTATTCTGTAACTTTACCTTCACATCCAAATTTAAACAATTACCATATCGAAAAATATAAATTTGATATATAAAAAATTAGAACCGATCATATGAATTCTGAGGAACGCAACGCAATTTTAAAATTAATAAAAGAATATTCCGACATTTTTTATATCGAAGGCAGTAACTTAACATTTACCAACGAAATCAAACACCGCATAAAAACATCCGACGAATTTCCGGTGTATACAAAGTCTTATCGATACCCCGAAATACATAAAAACGAGGTACGAACACAAATACAAAGCTTAATCGACCAAAAAATAATAAACCTTCTTGTTCGCCCTGGTCCTCACCTATTTGGGTGGTTCCCAAAAAGATTGACGCAGCAGGAAAGCGAAAATGGCGGATAGTCATCGACTACCGCAAGTTAAACGAAAAAACCATAGGTGATAGGTATCCGTTACCAAATATTATGGATTTGTTTGACAATCTAGGTCGTTGTCAATATTTTTCAACTCTCGATCTGGCCTCAGGGTTCCATCAGGTTGAGATGGCTGAAGAAGACATTCCCAAAACTGTGTTTAAACTGAGCAGGGACATTTTGAGTACCTTAGAATGCCCTTCGGTCTCAGGAACTCTCCAGCGACCTTTCAAAGGGTCATGGACAACATCTTAAGAGGAATACAAAATGAACGGTGTCTTGTATACCTCGACGATATAATAATATTTTCGACAAGTCTTCAAGAACACATAGATAG